ACAAGAAAGGAAACGACCCTTCTGGTGATTAAAAAAAGGTAACTCCTGTCTGTGGTACAGTGATATGCCCCCTCCTGCCTGCAGAAAGGATCTCTGGTGGAAACTCATCATCTCCCTGTAGAGATCTGGGTTCAAAAACTTCAATTAGAGACAATCGCTCGCTGTGTTTTGCTGCCTTGCACTCGCTCGGCCCGGAGCCAGGCAGCAGCAGGATTTAAGGGGCCTGAGGACAAACATCAGCTGGAGGATGCTCAGCTGGGCTCCTGGGGCTGCAGGAGGCTGTAATTGGAGAGCCCCAGGCAGCACTTGGGGAGCGGCCGTGCTGCACAAGCGAGATGCTGCTCGCCTCGTGTTAGGCCAGCCGTGCAGGGCAGGACCCTTGGAAGAGTGATGAACAGCTCAACAAATGGGCAAAATGCTTGAAGGGGGGGGATGGGAAAGGACTGGCTTGTCTAATTAGAAAAGAGGTTTGCTCTTAGTCACCCAGCACAGCGCCTGGGGCTGTAACTCCAGACGCTGCTGTGCAAAGGCTGACAGCTCTCTCAGACACCGAGCTGTCAGCCTGGGCTTTGTAACCAGAGTTTCCACAGGAAAAAAACACCTCTGTGCTCATCACCAGCGGCAGAGGAGAGCCCTTCTGCACCCAAACACACTTCCAACAGCAAGACCCACCAAACACAGGCACTTCAGGGCCACAGCAAACCTCGCTGACCCACAAGAGCAGCTCTGGTTCTGGGGAACCATCGTCAGGAGCTCCCAGTTGTGCAGCAGGATCTGGGGAGCAGGTCCAGCAATAGGACAGGCATGGCAGGAGAAGCCTGCAGCTGTATGGCAAGGCTGGATGCCGTCCCTCTCACTGGGATGGTGACTCTTCCACGGCAGCTGAAACACAAAAGGCAAGAACAGATGAGCAATGCAATCTCTGTCCTGTTGTCCCTGTGGTAGCATAAAAAGAAAACCCACCACAGAGCAGAGGCAGGAGGAAATAAAATATCTTGGGGTTTGCACCATCCTTCTCCTCTCCTACTTCTCCCAGCTATTCCAAGCCTGTGTTTGCAGTGGGGTTGAGAAAAAGGTGCAGCAGTGGCCCCATGATAAAGTGGGCAGCAGTCCAAGCCAGTCACAAACAGTGCTGGCTGCATGGGAGGAAAGTGCTCTGCAGCCCCAAAGGTGGAGTGCAGCTCCCAGGAGCCAGCACTCCCTCCCAGCTCCTGGTCGGTGCTAAAAGTGGCAGTAATACCAAATGTGTCACCAGCTACCAGCTTGTGCTCTCTCTGGAGAGGTTTCCAGGCAGACTGAGCTGCATGGAAGCCCAAAATGAGAACATGGAGCCTGCTTCTGCAGGGCTGCAGGTGGGAGCTTACAGCCCAGCTGCAGAGCCACTCCAGCAGCAGAAGGGGACTGCAGCTTGCAGCCTTCCTGCAAGAACAAAACACTTTTATTCCCACAGCAAACACCCTGCCCCAAGACTCTGCCTTTCCCTGTCCCCTCCATGGCAGCACACATCACGTGAGAGCTCAGCAGGGCCGATTTCACTGTGCTGGGGCAGTCAGCCGGGCCTCCTCCCCTGCAGGGCGTAATTAACCTCCTTGAAGTGGGCTGGGACTGGAATCCCACAGCCCAGTACAGAGGCCATAATCAGACCAACAGAGGAGGAAGAAAGGCCCCCCTCCAGCAGTCTGGGCCAGGCTCCCATCTCACACCCAGGCAACGGAAGGGCAGGTCACGCCATGGGCACGTTTTAACCACGCAAAGATGCTACTTTTGGCCCGAGCAGAGAGGAACCACAAAACCATGGCTATCTTTTCCAAACCGCAAAGGAGAGCCAGCAGCCAAAATGACGCCTCAAATCTCAGCTTCTATTTCAGCAGCAGCAATTAGAGAGCTGCTCTTTTTGGCTACTCATGGACACTCAGCATCTCAGCTCCCCACCAGCTGCAGTTTGGCCAGCCCCCTTATCTGGTAGCATGCGAGTCTGCCTCTCTGCTCCCCCACTGCAGTGGAAGAGGCAGTGTCACAGCCCTGTGTAGCAGAAGGGGAATTTTGATGCACTTCAAGTTATTTCTGCTCATCTACAGCTCTAAATGGACTAGAATAATAGATAGTTTATGTGCCAGGGTTACTCGGTACAGCATCACAAGGCATCATGTCTTGCTGGGACCTTACAGCAGGAATCTCAGTAGCAAAGCCCCTACTCACGCTTTACAGCCAGCAGTGTGTTCCCATGGCAGCAGGCTACAGAGGTCACCACGTATGGATGTGTCTCCTCCAGCTGCACAGGCCTCGGTGTTCCTGTTTCCTCATCCTTCCTGCCCAAGCGTCCCCTGGCTCCTTTCCCCCAGGTGCATACCTCACCATCTGCAGAGGGACAGAGCTTGCTGCACATACAGCTCCTGCAATCCTCACCAGGACGTGGGAGCTTCGGCCTCACCTGCTCCAATAGCCACAGTGAAGGCATCCCCACAAGCTACCACAGTGACCTTCATGGCCCGGAGCCCCACAACCAGGTGGGGCACACGACTGTTGCGACAGGAGTTGGTGCCCAGCTGCCCGTGTTGGTTGCTCCCAAAGGTGTAACACTGGCCAGAAGCTAATGAGAGAAACAACCGTATGTCACCCAAGGATGCACAGAAACCCATTTGCTTTCTATTATGCTGAGCATCCTGCTCCATAGTGCTCCAAAACTGGGAGCAGGGTGTACTGAGCCTTTCTTAGCCCTTTACCTACAGCAAAGGGAAGCAGGAGAAGGAGGAGGGAGAAAATGCAGTCCCTTCTCAGGGATCTGGGCACGCACCTGTGACTGCAGCTGAGTGTGCTGTACCGATGTCAGCACACACAACTGGCTCTTGGTTCAAGGGGGCTGACTGGGCACACATGAACATGGTGGCCTCTTCTACCTGGTCCTCTGGGGAAGGTTCCTCTGCTGAGTTGATCCGATCTAGGCCCAGCTTGTTACACCTGCAACATAAAAAGCATGGCTCAGAACTGCCTGAATCCACCATCAAATCCTGCCCTAGCATAACTACACCCCCAGCGATGAGCAGGATCTCACAGAAATGCACCACTAGAGACTCTTGCTCCTGCTTCAGTGACAGACAGGAGGGGCCTGGGAAAGCAGCAGGCAGGCTCTGAGCTCTCACAGATCTTAATTTCCCCTACCTGTTGCTCCCACAAGCAAGAATCTGGTTCTTCACTGTGAGGACCATGGAGGAATCGATGCCACAGATGACCCTCTGTGCCTCATGCTCTGGTGGGACTGCTACCTGCTGGGGGGAGTTATGGCACTCCAGGGTACCCAGCCCAAGCCGACCTGGCAGGAGAAACACAAAGCTGCCTCCAAGAACTCATTCTGGGACATGCCACCATGAAAGGCAGCAAAACCCAAAGCGCGGGGACTTGATCTGCAGTGAAGTGGCAGCAACTTGCCCACACCCACCAAACCTGGCACGTCTGGAGAGAACTGCAGACAAGTAGGGCCAGCAAGAGGCATGGAAACAGGCAATGGAAAGCATTAGCCCTGTTCTGCTAAGCAGACATCTCTTACCATTATCCCCTCTGCCCCAGGCAAACACCTCCCGTTCATTGGAAACTGCCAAGACATGAGATGCACCACAGGCCACCTGCACCATCTCGTAGCCCAGCAGGGCCTCCACAATCTTGGGCTGGCAGGGGAAGAGCAGCAGCCGTTAGCCGAGACCTCCCAGCCAGCCCGCCTGCTCCCATCCCTCCTACCCTGCCCCCCCAGCACAGCACAGCACTGGCAGCATCCCAGTTTTCATCCAACACAAACACCAGAGAATTTTTTGTTCTGAACAGTCTTCAAAGGTTTTTCTTTTTCTTTTTTTTTTTTTAAAAGAGTCTACGTGCACGCAGCACAAAAGATAATGCAAACATCTCTAGGGCGGAAGAAAGCAGCCAGCATGATGGTTTGGAGAGCTGAAAGGTTGGGATTTGCCCCCCTGCCCATTGGGGGAGTGCCAGGGGCGGTTAACGCACGCTCTGAGCAGGCAGGGGCTTGGTGCAGGATGCATTTGGCTCCTCTCACACAGAGGAGCTGTGAGCCACCAGCTACATATTCGTTAGGGTGTGGAGAGACCAGGATCTCCACATTTCACCCAGCCCCTGCTGTGACCTGCTGTTAAATCTGACACCTCGCCACATCGAGCCTCAATCTCATTATCTTCTTCAAGTGAAAAGCGCCGTTTGCTGGGATTTGACTGCAACTCCCAGTTGGTGTCCCCAGCAATAAACACTGAGCTGCTCTGGACAGAGCAGGCACAAATAAGCCAGCTGACCACAGAAACAAATGGCACCAGTCCCTAGGCTCGGCTGGCAGCCATTGGCTGCTGTCACATCCGAGGGCAGGAGAGGAAGAAGCTGGAAAGGAGCAACGGGCTCTCAGCCCCACTGCTCCAAGCCAATCGGAAGCACACAGCTCTTCTTTAAATACTGGCTCTTTTGAAAAATAACTTTTCTCAGTGAACCCCGGCAGCTGCAGGCCAAGAGTGAAGCAGGCAGGTGTGTGATTGGAGGCAGGCTCCAAGCTGGGAGCCTGCCAACAGCAACCACAAGGCAGCTCTTGACTTCCCCCACACTCAAAGGGATCATTGTGTAATGGGGGGGGAGAAGAGAAAGAGAGAGGCAGGTTGGGCCTTTTAAAACCTGCAGTGATAGGGAGGGGGAAGGGGGTCAGATGCCAGAGCACGCCTGGGATGCACACCCCTGGAGTTGGGATGAGCTGCCTCACGTGGCGGTTAAAGCACAATCCATCCTCTAACTCTGGGGGAGCAGCATGCCCAGCACCCTCACAACAAACCTGGCTTATATCCGTGAAGTTTCCGTGCCCTAAACAGCCGTTACTGCCACTGCCAAAAGTCATGATTATCCCCCTGTCTGGAAAGGCAGAAAGAAGTCGTGTTACTGACACACGTGACGGCACACGAGGCACACACAGCCTGCAGGACTGGCCATGGATCTCAGGACAGGCTCTGCCTGGACCCACTGTGACTCATAACTTGCTGGGGGGGCCCCCTCAGGGCCTTCAACAAACTTCCAGAGAGCAGCAGCCTCGATGCACCACAACGCCTCACCAAACAAACATCAGATGATAATAGGAAAGCGCTGTGATAACATTATGGCAGCTGTGTACGCAGGAGCTGCAAACTCCACAGTCTGTCGAGGTGCTAAATACATAGGGTGTTCAGCAAAGCAGCCATCCAGCAGAGCAGAGGCAGGAAATGCCATGCAGAGGAAGGACAAACAAACACCTAAGAAGTTTGCCATCTGCATATCTGTCATTTACTGCCCTGACCTCCAGCAGAAGAGCAAACAGGGCTCCCAAAGGACCACTGGAAGAGCTTTGCTCCCCAGGCACAACCTTGGGCTTGTGTACATACTCTGCTCCCAGCCAGCTTCTGGCCCATTCTCCAAGGTCTTCAGACCCTGCCTTCCTGCAGCAGAGGCCGATCAGCCCTGCAGGAGCTCATAGGCGCCCATTCATGCTGCCTTCTTGCTGCAGTGCCAGTCACCATTAATCACTGCTCATGTCACACTCACAGAGTATGTGACAGAAAAAGGCTGAATCTCCCAAGCACTCCTTGCACTGCAGGCCCCACTGTGCAAGCCAGTTCTGACTTCAAGTGACACCACTGCTAGCAGGACAAGAAACAGAAGGTGTCTGTCTATGCCTTGCCCATACCAGACTGATCTTTGTGACCCAGCTGACCAGCACAACATCATGTTTGCAAGCCACAGAGGTCTTCACTTCATCCCAGCCCAGTGCATCTCTTGGGTTCCTCTCTGAACAGGTATCCCAGGCTGTCACACTGTGACACTGCCACAACTTCTCCAAGTGAAAGCCCAAGGTAGCAGCTCACCTGTGAGGCAGGCAGTGAAGAGATCCCCACAGGACACATGTTTGATGGTCACACCAGACTGGCCCTCCAGAAAGCGGGACACAAACTGAGGCTGCAGCTGCTCAGTGGCTCCTGGCAGAGAAGGGCCTCCTGCAGTGCCCATCGGGGGAGCCTGGAGGAGAGACACCTACCAGCTCCTGTGCCTCAGTGCAGCAAGGGCTGTGTGCGAGAACCAAGATAAACACCTTCCCACAGCTGCCTATCCTATGTTCCCCATTACTCACCTCCCACATGATGAGCCTCCCTGATTTGGTGACCCCAGCCTTCTGTGTTCTACCAGCAGACACCTGCACCACTTCGGTGTTCAGCATGGGCAGACGGAGCGGGGTGGTGATCCCACTGCCCCACGTGTAGATGGACGACAGGGGAGGAGGGATGCCTGTCCTGGCCGAGCCACCTCGAACACCTGTGGGTCAAACAGAAATCAGAGTGGACTCCTAACTTTCCTCCCACAGAAAGATAAAGCCAGCAGCCAGCTGGGTGCCAGCACAGCTGCTGGGCTGCCAGCAGGGTCAGGCTAGCTCAGAGCACCAGTCCAAGGCTGGCACAGGACTGCTGGGGAGCTCAGTGCCAGGGCTGAGGAAACACATGGAAAGAGCCCCTTGTATTTTATCCCAGAACTGAGGGGAGCAGCATTACAACAACTCTAGCTAATTGTTAACCAATGCCAGCTGCACTGCCCTGCTCAGAGAGGTTCTCCCTCAGCACCCTCCTCAGCTCGTTCCCAGCCTTTACAGTAGAAAATGCAGAAACTTGATTCACAAGGGTCAAAACCTCAAAGAGGCAGCTGGAGAAAGACTGCTGCTTGGTCCCCAGATCTGAGGTTCCTATGGGCTCCTCCAGTGCTCATGGAAGGCAATATTTCTCAACTTCTCTCCAAACACCTCTCCAACTCCTTGACAACCAAGGGAGAGGGTCCTTCCAAATAGGAGTTGTGTTAAGGCCCTGTGCCAGCACTCACCCCTGGGTCTGGCACTGCTCACTCGTCCCCCTGTCCGGCTGTGTGTCACTGTTTGCACTGGAGCCAAGGGCTTTTCAGGCCTGCCAAACCAAAATCCAGTCCTTAATGTCAGCTCAGCCCAGAGATTCTGCAGAGTATTGTATCACAGAACCAGGCAGAGCTACAGCATAAGCCACAGCTAACCAACTCACAGAACTGCTTTTGGGAGATGTTTTAAACCACCTGAGAAAGAGAAGTTGGTGTCAATTTTCTTCCCCCTGAGCTCACAACTCTCCATTTGCAGTTACTGCTGCCCACACCTGCTGCAGCCACAAGCCACAGGGCCAGGCTTAGCTTGTAGCAGCTGCACATTTGGTAACCCAGCATAGGGTCAGCACTCTATTTGGAGTTTACAACGTAGACAGTGAGCTGGTCTGACGTGTTGTGAGCTGTAGCAGTCCCTCCCAAGGGAGACAAGTGGGGCAGTATCACTTGCCTTCTCATTTTAACACTTCCTACATCAGTGTAGAGGTTCAGAAGGGGGCGAATGCAGATGGACTGGGCCATAATCTCATTCAGCTGAGGCCGCTTAGAAGGATCCAGGTTCAGCATGCTAAGGATGAGCTGGCGCAGGTCGGGGCTGTATCTATCTGATATTGGGGCAAACGTCCCGCTCATGATCTTCAATACTAAGGCAGGAAGATTCTGAACAGAAAACAAAAGAGAGATATACAGTGGCTGGGAAATCAGAAACAAGAGACCAAGGGGCAAAATGTCTTCAGTGCTGCCATCTGCTTTCACACCTTTAGGCTCAGAGAGAATGATCCAAACATGTATTTTCACTTCTGAAAGAGACCATAGTTTTCTGCACTACATGTAAACTCTGTCTTCTCTTACCGCAGCTTCAAAAGCCCTCTTGAGGCTGGTAAGTTCATAGAGCACACAGCCCAAAGCCCAGATATCACTCTTCTGGTTGTAAGGCTTCCCTTCACAGAGCTCTGGGGAGATGTAGCATGGAGTTCCCACAACCTAGATGAGATAGATAAATCTACCATGAAGCCGTGAAAGGTAAGAAAGAGGAAAGAGAAAGGCTCAGTTTACAGCTCAGAGCACTACCAACCAAAGCTTAGGGGAACTGTGTGTTTAGCTGGCAATCTCAGTAAAAACCATGATGATTTGCCTTTCTGGAGGCCTCAGTAACAAAGCAGCACCATGTTACACAGATGTAGCCTACTGTATGCCACCTCAAACCTTGCTGCCCACAGTAGCTTTCCAGAGACTTTCATGGAGCCAAGACCAGTGTTTCCAGCCTGCTGCCATGGTGGTAAGTAGCTCCCCTGCAAAGCTGGGCCACCCACCGTGTAGGCTTTACTCTTGCTGCTCAAGATTTTGGAAATGCCAAAGTCTCCAATCTTGACAATCATGCGATGCTTGTCCAAGAGGATGTTCTGAGTCTTCAGGTCACGGTGCAGGATCTGCTTGGTATGCACGTGGTGAAGAGCCAGGAGGATCTGCACGAAGAAGTGTAGGATGGTGTCCTCATCCAACAAGGAGTTACAGCGTTTATGAATAAACTCTGCCAGCGTGCCCCCTGCGAAGAACGACAAAGGGATATCAGCAAGGGTGGCTGCACAGGGCAGCACAATCTCAGCTTAAAAATAAAGGGATTTAGCTGCAGCATCTTAACAAGACAAGTGCATGGGAAAAAGCATGTCATGGTGGGACACAAAGCATGTCCTCCAGTGCTCCTGAGACTATGCAGAGAACAATGGCAGCACAGTTGGTGGGATGAAGAAACAGTGAGAGAGAAGTTGCTGTTGACATATTGTCAAAAGCAGCAGGAAAAAGGAACGCTAAAATTACAGCTCCTGGAGCCCTGTCAGGACACAAACCTTGATGGCAGAACAAGATAAGCCTGTTCTGCAGAAGAGAATTCTTGCAGTCCGAGAGGCCACATGGCACTGAGAGGCCCCTGTCAAGAAGGGTAGGTCTAAATGCAGGTCTCCTGAGAAACTTTTAACAAACCCTCATGCAAATGTTGAGTTAATCTTAAACTCCATAGCAAATCTCATAGAAATTGCACCTTCCCACGCAGAGCTGTGGGACTGACAGTGTGGCCATGAGCTGACAAACAAGTGAAACCTAAAGCAAGGGTGGATGGTAGCAGGTGTGTCAGAAATCTTTTCATTTCTGTTTGGAGTAGGCACAAGGCATAAAACCACAGAATGGCTGGGATTGGCGGGGCCCTCTGGAGATCATCAGGTCCGTTCTCCTGCTCAAGCAGGGCCACCTAGAAACAACTGTCCAGATGCCTTTGAGTATCTCCAGGGAAAGAGGCTCCATCACCTCTCTGGGTTACCTGCGCCAATGCTCAGCCACTTGGTTCATGGCCGACTTGGTGCCCACCAGGACCCACAGAAGCTTTTCTGCAAAAAAAAATATAATTGCCAGATCTGCTCAAGAAAGCCTTATTTTGAATCTCAGAGCACAACATGAAGCCAAAGCAGCCTGATCCATGAAGAGATGAATGCCTGGCATCCCCTGGACCTGCTGAGGAACCACTGCCAGGCGTGAGGGCTGCACGGGGCCCACCTGGAGCATACTCCATGGCAATCATGAGAGCCTTGTCCTCCAGGAAGTTCTCATAGTACTCGATGACGTTGGGGTGGCTGAGCAGCTTGAGGACCTGGCACTCGTTCTGCGCCGCCAGCCGCTCATCCTTGCTCATCTGCTCCACGGGGATCTGCTTCAGGATGACCAGCTTCTGGTCGGCCTTGCGCAGACACAGGTGCACGATGCTGCAGAGACAGGGCCTCAGTGGGGAGGGACGGGGCCTGGCCACCAGCCCTGGGTGACGCACAGCCCCCGTCTCTCCATGTCACTACGGTAACAGGGCCTGTTACCATCCCAGAGTAGGGTAGCATGCACCCCCCTCCTGCCGTCACCACGGCAACAGCCGAGGCCAGGCCCCCACCCCAGGGTGTCACACAGCGGCTGACCCTCGCGCTGCCATGGCAACAAGGCCCAGACACCCCGTCGCCATGGTAACAGGGCCTGCGCCTCTCACTCCGGGGTGCCACAGTCCCGGCGCTGCTCTCCCCATCCCAGAGTAGCAAGGCCCCCCCATCCGCCAGGCCCGGTGCTCTCTGGGGCCGCCCTCACCCGAAGGCCCCTCTCCCCACCACCCGGATCCGCTCGTATTTCTCCATCTCTCCCCCTTCTAGGCCCGGGCTCCTCCCGTCTCCATGGAGACGCTTCCGGGTTCCGCTACGGTGGCCGCGAACGGACAAAACACCTCATTCCGCATCCGCCCTCCTTCCCCAAAGTGTTTTGCAGGATCTGCGGCCCCTCTTCAGCCCCACCTTAAAGGCGAGGGGAATTAATCTGTAACCCGCAGCCCTGCGGCGAACGCAGCGAGCGAGCTACGGGGGCCACGGCCGGAGCTGGGAGCGGGGTACCACGGCTGTGTGCGGACAGCAGGGGGGATGCCCACCCCGGGGCTCCCCGGTCAGCTCTTTGGATGTGAGCAGGAGCGAAGCCCGAGCCCTGGCTCCGTTCCCAGCTTCTCCCCACATTCCTGGGATGATTGGGGACAATGGGAGGCGGGCGCTGCCCTGGGGGGGGGCCTCCCCGAGGCCGAGACCCCGCGCGGGGTCAGCCACGAACGGGAAGGGGTGGGCGGAGCGCCCTCAGCTCCGTACCCGCAGCGAAGCACGGCCGTGCAGCCCCGAGTGGGGCAGCTACAGGGCCGCGGCATAGGGGGCGGCTGCTCCAGGGCGGGGGACGGGGACAGCGCTGCCACCCCCGGGCCGTGCCACGGGGCCATGCTGCCACCTAGTGACACCGAGCTCTGCTCGTGGGGGCACCCAGGGCACGCACACCGCGCCCGGGACACGAGCAGAGCCCACGTCAGCTGCACGTTGCACGCCTGCAGTCAGCATCCCAGTCTGACACGTGGTGTGGGTGTGTGCAACGCCCAGCGCATACACACAGGTGTGTAATGCCCACCACAAACCACGCAATAGCGTTCCATACGCCCACGAGCAACATCCAGCATGCACGCACGCTTTAAAACCCTACGTGCAATGCCCGGTTTGCACGCATACTCGTGCAATGCCCCGCACAGACGCCGCAAACACCTTCAGCACGCACATAAGCAATGCTCAGCATGCACACCTAACGCTTAAACACTCTGCGTGTTCCCCTTGCCTTGCACACGCGTGCGCCGCACCCGCTTGCCCAGATAGCGCGCAATCCCCACGCGCATGCGCAGCGCTGCGGGATGGGCGTGTCTGCAAACGAAGCTCCACCCCCTTCTCGCATGGCCCCGCCCCCTGACGGCCCCGCCCCGCGCCCGGCAGCCCGCGCCGCCGCGCGCCCCGCGCCGTGCCCCGGAGCTGGGCGCGATGGGCCCGGGCTGGCGGGCGCCGTCGGCTGCGCTGGTGGGCGGCAGCGTGGCTTTGTTCGGGGCGCTGAGGCGGGCGGCTCTGGCCGTTCCCCGACCCGCAGCCGTGAGGAGCCGACCCGGGCGTGTTTGGCGTTGGAGGAACCTCCTCGTTTCCTTCGCACATTCCGTTCTCGCCGGGCTGTGGGCCCTACTCAGGTACTGGGGGTGGATGGGAGCTCGGGGGGTGATGCCGTGGGCAGCCCACGCACGGCTCTCCCACAGCCCGGGAGTGCGAAACACCGCCCAATTCCTCCCTGCGCACCATGGCAGGGTTGGGGTCTTAGGGCTGTACCCCCACAGCAGCGCTCAGCCTCACCCCGTTTCCCTCCCCGCAGCCTTTGGCAGTCCCCGGAGCTGCTCTCCGACATCCAGGACGGGTACAGCGTCTCAGGACACCTGCTGGTCTGCTTCTCCTCAGGTGAGCACTCACTTGGTCCGGGGCCTCTGCGTCTCCACCAGCAGGAGGGACCCCCCTGGGCACAGCTCTCCCTGCAGGCACCCCAAATCCCTTCTTCTCTCCCTTCTCACTCCCACTCTTCTCTTACCTTGCAGGCTACTTCATCCACGACAGCCTCGACATCATCTTCAACCAGCAGTCCCGCTCGTCCTGGGAGTACCTAGTGCACCATGCCATGGTGAGTGTGGCTGTAGGGAAGGTGACGCTGCCCTGTGGGGAGGTGACATGCCACCCCAGGGCTCAGCCAGCCGGGAGCCCTGCCCATGCCTCACCCTGCCTGCCAGGTGGGTTGTGCAGGCAGCAAGCAGGACGGCTGCCAGCACCTGGAGACAGCCAGGCTGCGAGGGCAGAGCTTCCCAGCACGTCAGTCCTGGGGGAAGCAGCTTGTGGGACTGGCTTGGGTGCTGTAAGGGTTATAGGATCTCACAGGGAGGGCTGTGCAGGGTGTGGGGTGCTGACCTCGCTGTGCCCCCCTCCGCAGGCCATTTCTGCCTTCGTCTCACTCATCATCACGGGCCGCTTCCTGGTGGCGGCGATGCTTCTGCTGCTGGTGGAGGTGAGCAACATCTTTCTCACCATCCGCATGCTGTTGAAGATGAGCAACGTGCCTTCCCCAGCGCTCTACGAGGCCAACAAGTACGTCAACCTGGTGATGTACTTCGCCTTCCGCCTGGCGCCCCAGGCCTACCTCACCTGGTACTTCGTGCGCTACGTGGAGGTGCAGGGCCAGGGTGCCTTCCTGATGGCCAACCTCCTGCTGCTCGACACCATGATCCTCATGTACTTCTCCCGCCTCTTGCGCTCTGATTTCTTCCCCTCCCTGCGTAAGGGATCCGCTGGGAGAGATGTGGATGGTGAGAAGTTCCTCATTGACTGAGTGAGCCGCACGCGCGCTGGGGACCGGGGCTCTCCATACCTGCTCTATGTGCCTTAGGGCTCGCTCCTTGGCTGCGGGCTCTGCGTTCACCCGCTCTGCTGCCTATAAGCTCCACCCTGCTGGAACCACCCCGACAGCCTCGCCAAGCCGTGGGGATGCCACCAAAACTGGGGGCACGGTCTATGGAGGAGCAGCCCAAGCCGGCTTCTGCGCCAGCACGGCCAGGGGTGTCTGTGAGGGAAGGGCTGAGCCTCACCCGTGGTGGCGTTGGGTGTTCTGTGCATTAAATGGGTCTGGTTACTGCTGCCGCAGCATGCCTCAGCTGGCTCTTCTGTGGGGTAGAGAGATGCTGGGGGGGGAGGATGATGAGGTGGGAGCATGGGAAAGGATGTGCCCCCACTCCCTGGAGAGGGTGCAGTTCTGCAGCTCACTTAGGTTTAGGGAGCCCCCAGGGATGCTTGGTCCTAGCTCTCCCACAGAACGGTCCCCCTTCGTTCATTTATTTTTCCAGAGATCCCTCAGTGCTTGACATCCCTCAGCCCTGGGGCTATGCGAGGAGCAGGTGAGGGGACGTGGGGCAGAGATGAGGGCAGCAGGAGTGGTGTTGAGCCCCTCTGCAGTCCCCAACCCGCCTGTCTCCGGGCTGGCGGCACTGAGCCTGGCTGGGCTGCATGACTCACCCGGCAGCCACGTGAAGTGGAGCTGGCATGGGAAGACCGTGTGAGGCCACAGCTCTTCCTGGAAGATTGCTGCACACTCAGTCCCCCCAGGGTTGCCATCACCAGCACTGTGCAGTTCCAGCCCCCTAAGAGCACACCAGACTGACTGCAGTGGCAGCAGCCCCTCTGCAAGTAGGGGTGCAGCTCTCTAGGGCAGCAGAGCCAAAGCTGGCCCAGCCGGTCCTGCGGAGCACCAGAGTGTTAGGAAGGCAAATCCTGCTGATGTGACAGCTCCAGGATCACCCTGGACTGGTATAAGCAGCAGGGCTTAGAGGGACTCCTGTCCAACCCCTGCTCCAGGGCAGGATCAGTGCTTACCCACACCATCCCCAGCTCACGTGGACACGGTGCTGCAAGTCAAGTGGAAGCAGGGGGGGACTCAGCCCACCTCCAGATGGCTGGGAAAGCCCCACAGTGCCAGGTACACCCAGGGGGCACTGATTCTGTAGCTGGCAGAGGGGGCTGTGTGTCAGGAGCAGCCTGGCAGCCAGAGGGGAGATGCAATGTGTGGGATCACATGGCTGGGAATCTATGCACGTTCCAAACCAACCACTTCACTCACCCCCTCTTTGCTCAGTGCCAGAACAGAAGCAAGCAGGCCCTGAGCTGAGCTGCAGGGTCTCTTCCTGCCCCAGCAAGTTCCAGTTCTACCACTAAAACATCCCAACCGCTACGCCTCATCTTCCTATCTGCAGCTGAAGCACCAACTCAACCTGTAAACACCCTGCACAGTTAACTCCTACTGTTCTCCCTCCTGATCACCTTTCCCCTTATCTCTTCTCCCAGCACAGTGATCAGCCCATGCTCACACCACTCTGCAGCAGCGTAGAAGGGTCAGGAACGACCAAGCTTTCCCCATCCTCCAGCTGTACAACAGCACTGGGGCAGCTGTGGGTCAGGCTGGCTGCCAGCCCAGAGCAAGAAGAAAGCACAGGGAAGATGCACACTGAGTGCCAGCCAGAAGCAGCCATCAGGCTAAGTTGAGGCAGGGTCAGGGCAGATTGCAAGTCATGCTGAAGTGAAATCCCTTCCCAGCCCAGCCTCCACACTGCCAGGGAGGGCTGCAGCACATACCTGCTCCTCACTCCATGATAAGGCTCTCCAAAAAGAACTCATTTTACTCAGAGGGGTAACTGCAGCTAAATCAAAGATGAGGCATAGGGCTTGGCTAATACCTACAGAGCCCCTTATGCTGCCTGTTCCCTTCCCACAGTGCTGAGGACACAGGCAGGAATTTTAGGCAGGTGGCTTCCAAAAGCCAAAAGGAACATCAGACCCAGCCCCAAGAAGGAGCACATCTGTCCCAGGTCCCTGCAGTGCTGTGCAGCTCAGCCCTCAGGAGATCTTTATCCAGTTTCCAAAGCAGTAGCAACCACAACAGCCTCCCTGTTCCATTCACCACTATGCTCTGTGAGCTCAGGATTCCACCACCCTCCCCAAAAGGTGTGAGGGAAACCTGGCATCCCACCACCCAAAACTTCAATTGCCCCTGTCAATATTTGGTCACAGCTTTCACCAGCTTCCTTCCCTAAAGCCAAACTCTACACTTCATGCTAAGTACTCCTACAGGCTTATCCATGCTTCACCTCTACTTCCTCCTCACCCAGTGCTCCACATTCTTATGACTCTCCAAGCACTCCAAAAAGCTGGTTGAGGAAATAAACGACTGCCAAGGCAACAGCAGCAGTTTGTCTACAAACAGCCCTGGTGAGGACAGCAAACTCAGCAAGGTCACAGGCAACATAACAGGAACTGTGTCAGGGAAACCAGACTGCGAATCACACGCTGCAGCAAGGGGAGCATGGATCATGCCAGAAAGAAAAAAAAACAACTACAGTAAGCACTTGCTATTGGGTTAGCTTGAGGGCTTTGTCCAGAGAAACCTGCAGCCTAAGCTAATAGTTGATAGAAGTTGGGAAGTGGCACAACACTCACCTTGTGTCAGTTCTGAACCACAAACTGATTTTGTTGCAGTTTGTACCTGCCTATTCTTGGGCATTAAGCAGCTTGTGGTACGTTCCACAAGGAAGTTATGGAGGATGCTGAGAACCACCACCACAAACATTTACTAATAACTACACAGCAAAACACATTATTCTGAAATCCTACTGATGTAAACAGAGAGATTTGCAATTCAGGGGAGTGCCACCTCACTGATGTTTACCCACTGCAGACAGAGAACGTGTCAGTGATGCAGGAGAGACTAGCAATGAAGTGTGAGGTGTGGGACAGCACTGTGAGCCTCTCAGTGCAGCCAGCTCCTGCCAAGCAAGTGCCAGACCACAGCAGGAGGGAGGGAGGGACACTGTTTACTGAAATGAAGCCCCAACAGTTTCCTGGAAGCTCTTCTGTATGGGCTATGTAGTCACAAAACACAAGAGCCCCTCAGTGGTTTTACAGGGTTTATTATCCTGTCTGTACAGTCCTTGGTAGATGCAGTTTAGATGATTCCAATCTGGAAAGAAGCAAAACATGTTAAAACAGATGTTATGGTGGCAGAAAGGCAGAGCCTCCACCAGACATCACTGACACAGCTGCATCTCCCCAGGATTCCTTCCTCTGAAAACAGGCTTCTTCCTACCAGACTCGCCCAGTGCCTCACACAGTTGATGTATTCATTTGCTCCACTGTGACCCTCGTGTTAATCCTTACAGCCACCATCCCCACCTCCAACACCTACCACCACAGCCATCAAGGACTAAACTACCTGGCCATTTCCAGCAACAGAGACACATGCACAGCAGAAATCCTTCACCCAGGCCCTAGCAGTGCTTTTGACAGCATGTTCTTCTTTCTGAGGAGTGCTGCCAACATCGTTGTCTGTGAACACTATTAGAACAGACACCACTTCACCCTGAGGCAGTTTCTGCATCCTCCTAGTACTTTAAAATTCATACAGCCTTGTGTAGTGGAGCCCCTCCCTGGAGGAGAGGAAGAACTGCAGCTCTGTCAGTTCACTACCCACCTGACCTCATACAGGCAGAACAAGGTATTTGTTCTTGCTTAACCACCCTGCAAATCCTACTTAACTGCAAACTACTCTGCAGCAGTACTGGTGTGCTTTAAGCACAAGTACCTCACGTGCACACCAAGAAGAAGGAGGTACAGCAAATATGAGGCAGCAAATAGGAGCTGACAGCTTCAAACATTTCTCACCTTGTTGGCTACATCCAGGGCATCATAGTCAGGAGCCAGTCGGACATAAGCCTTCTTCTCCCCATCAGGCCTAGAGTGGAATAGGAGGTGTCAGTACTGAGGCACACAAATCCTCAAACCCATTCCACATTCCTATTATAATGGTGTGCATCAGTGGTTCCTTTGGAAACATCAGTTTACTCAGTGGTAAAAAATTGTTCACATCATCTGCACAGAACTCCTGCAGGACTTCCAGAAGCAGCCAACTTTCTGGCATAACACCATTTTAAACTTCCACTAAGATGTGCTCAATCATATGATTTTATCTATCATAACTTCAGCACTGAAAACACTACAGAGTTTAATACCTTACATCCTGAGAACTCCCACAGCATGGCTGAAACTCACACCTGTCCAAATTTCCTACAAGAGTGACTGCTCTCCCCCTTACCTTATCAAGGTGTTGACCTTGGCCACATCGATATCATACAGCTTCTTGACTGCCTGTTTGATCTGGTGCTTGTTTGCCTTGACATCGACGATGAAAACCAGAGTATTGTTATCCTCTATCTTCTTCATTGCCGATTCTGTGGTCAAAGGGAACTTGATAATGGCATAATGGTCAAGCCTGCAAGAAAGATTGCCTCAGCTTAAGAAAAGGATTGCAGAAGCTGTGCATATACATCAGGAGTTTTAAAATATCAGTTATCACCTAGAAATATCCGGGGTACATCAGTTACCAAAAAAGTTCTAATCACAAACTCTCAGGCTTTGGTCGCTTAAAATCATCACTTGCACCCCGATGCTCTGCAGTGAAAACGTGGCTCAGCTCCAAAGGCAGCAGATGGGCGAGGTCTTACCGTGGGACTCGCAGAGGGGCTGTCCCCACACACAAAGCCCTGCCAGGCCCACCACCCCCACGTACTTGTTTCTCCTCGGGGCACTCTTCCGGGGGTATTTGGGCTGCCGCCGCAGGCGCAGGGTCTTGGGCCTCCTGAAGGTGGGCGACGTGCGGATCTTCTTCTTCTTGTGGCTGTGGACTCCCTTCAGGACGGCCTTCTTGGCCTTCAGCGCTTTGGCCTTCGCCTCCGTCTTGGGCGGCACGGCTGTGACAACACCTCAGTCAGTGCAAAGCAGGACCGCGTGTCAGCAGCCCTCCCACCTGCCCCAGCGGGACACGTCTCCCCACGAGGCACCCCGACAGACCTGTGTCCAAACCGCTCCTCAGGCAATGAGCCTCATCCACAACAGCCCGGCTGAGTTCTCCCCTCTGTCGTCACCACCACACGGCTCCCCTCAGCCTCCCCCGCAGTACACAGCTCGGCCCTCAGCCCTCACACCCAACACCCGAGCTTTCCCCCCCCGATCCCAGGACTCACCTCACGTAACCAGGCCGCCCCGCCGCTGCGGGCCTCCCCCGCGCCCTCCACGTGCCCGCGGCCCAGCGCCGCCCCGCGGCCCTCCCGCGCCCTGCGACCCCCTCAGCCCGACCCCCGCAGCCCCACCGCACCCCGCGGGGCCTCGCAGCCCGGCGACCGCCCTCCTCAGAGCCCGCCACGTCCGCCCGCCCTCACCCTCCTTCTTCGCCTTGGGCGCCATCTTGGGCAGCCAGAAGCCAAAAGGGGCTTCCCGCCCCACGCCGCACGGGCTTATAGCCCCAAACCTCGCGAGGTTTCCTTTCCGTCTCGCCGCGGGGCTTGCCGGGAAGGGTAGTTTTAGGGGGCGTGGCCTCTGTTGCGCGTGCGCAAATCGCTCCCCGCCTCCCGCGGGGCGTCATGGGAGTTGTAGTCCCGGTCCCCTCCCGGGTCGGGGCGGGGCGTGGACGCCGATGCCTCCGGGGCGGAGTGTGCGGCGCTGAGCACCGAGCGGAGCGGGAGGGGCGCGGGAACGGGGATCGCCCCTCGGTACCGCCGGGAGGGGACAGGGGACAGCTGGGAGGAGGGACAGCGAAATTCCGGAGTGCGGAGCGGGGACACGGGGACAGCTGGGACGGGGGGGTGGGCTGTGTGCCGAGTGGCACCCGGGGGGACGTGGGGATAAGTGGGATGGGGAGACGTGGGACGTGGGGATGGGCGCCTTCCGGGATGCTTTACGTGGGGACAGCGGGACGTGGGGACACGGGGACAGCAGGATCTGCGGGGATGTGGGGATAGTGAGGTTTGGGGAAGTGGGGATGGTGGGACTTGGGGACAGCAGGACTTAGAGACACAGGGACAGTGGGATTTGGGGACAGTGAGACAGTGGGACCTGGGGACATGAAGACAGCATAATTTGGGGACATAGGGACAGGGAAAATTGGGGACGGTGCGATTTGGGGACAGGGGGACGGTGGGATTTGGAGACATGGTGGACAGCGGGATTTGGGGACATGGAAACAGCACGGTTTGGGGACAGTGGGACTTGGGGACACGGAGACAGCAGAACTTGGAGACGTGGTGACATCGGGATCTGGGACACAGCCACAGCACCGCCCCCCCCGTCCCTCCCCATCTCCCCAGGCCTGGCGGTTCCCCTCAGCCCCGCTCCATCCCGCCCATCCCATCCCTCCGGCCGCGGGGCACCATGAACGTGCTGGCCCCGGTGCGCAGGGACAGGGTGGTGGCCGATCTGCCGCAGGTGAGTGGGGAGGGGGCAGCACCCGGGGGGCGACCTCCCCGACCCCACAGCCTCACCGGGTCCCCTTTGTCCCTCTCCCCCCAACCTCCCCCACACACACCGCAGTGCTTTCGGAAGGAGGCCGCCCTGCACACCCGCCCCGAATTCCATTCCAGTGTGAGCAGCGCCTGCCAGGAGCAGCGGACGGGCACTGTGGGGTGAGGCTGGGATGGGGATGGGGATGGGGAGGTCCATGGCGGTGCCCGCCCTACGCAAACTGGGGGGTCCCGGCAGGAAGACGCCGCGTGGCTGCGGCGCTGCACGGCTGCGTCACGGCACAGGAATGCGGCGGGGGGGGGGGTGAGGGGAGGGGCGGGGAGATGGGGGGAGTTGTGCTGCAGGGGGGTGCGGGTGGTCCCCCATAACGGTGGTTATCCTGGGAGCTGACCGTGTGCCCCCCCTTCCTGCAATGTCTGTGTTCCCACAGCTTCAAGATCTCCAAGATCATCGTGGTGGGGGACCTGGCGGTGGGGAAGACCTGCCTCATCAACCGGTAACCCCGATGGAAGGGATGCTGGGGGGCTCTAGTGGGAGGAACCCCCCCTCCTCCTTATCCTGCTTCATCCCCCGCCAACAGTTTTTGCAAGGACACCTTTGACAAGAACTACAAGGCGACCATCGGGGTGGACTTTGAGATGGAGCGCTTTGAAGTGCTGGGGGTGCCCTTCAGCCTGCAGCTGTGAGTAGCACTGGCATTGTGTCACCCCCCCCTCCACACAACAGCCCCTGCTGACCCCCCCACACCACTCACCCCCTCCCCAGGTGGGACACGGCCGGACAGGAGCGCTTCAAATGCATTGCCTCCACCTACTACCGGGGAGCACAAGGTGAGACCCTTCCCCCCCATGTCCCCACCAACCATCCCCACATCCCCTCTGACCACCTCCGTCCCCATTGCTCACTTCATCACCCCCAACAGCCATCGTCATCGTCTTTGATGTCAACGATGTGGCATCCCTGGACCACACACGGTAGGTGGCACATGGGGTACAGTGGGGCTGGAGGTGGCTGTGGGGTTGGTGTCACCTCCATTGTGCAAACGAGAGGGCAGCGCTCGGCAGCATGGTGATACGGCCCCATAGGCAGTGGTTGGCAGACGCCTTGAAGGAGAACGATCCCTCCAACGTCATCCTCTTCCTGGTGGGCTCCAAGAAGGACCTGAGCGTGAGTGTGTCCCCCTCCCATGGGCTCTCCCTGGGCGGTGGGGCCGTTCCCATTGCCCACCCTGCTCCCTTGGCAGACACCAGCTCAGTACAGCCGGATGGAGAAGGATGCCCTCAAGGTGGCCCAGGAGATGCAGGCAGAGTTCTGGGCTGTGTCCTCACTCACAGGTTGGGACATGGGCAAAGCTGGAGGGAGATGGGGGCAAGGTGAGCCCTGCTGGAGCTCAGGACTCTTCTTCTATGGGGCAGGAGAGAACGTGAGGGATTTCTTCTTCCGTGTGGCAGCACTGACCTTTGAGAGCAGTGTGTTGGCAGAGCTGGAGCGTGGCAGTGCCCGGCGGATCGGCGATGCCGTACGTGAGTACCCACGACCCCCTCCTCCATGGCTATCCCCCCACCCATCCACCTAACCCTAACCCCAGCCCCTCCATCCTGCAGGCATCGGCAGCACCGAGAGCGACCTGTACCTGTCAGCACCCCGCAAGAAACCCAAATGCTGCCAGTGAGCCCCGCGGCACCTCGTGCCTCCATACCAAAGAGCGGCGGCCCCGGCGGGTGGGGGCATCCCATAGCTATGCAAACCCCCCCCTAGAAGGGACACCCCCAGCCTTCATTGTAATAAAATGGTTTTTTATGCTTTTTAAGGAAGCCGTCGGGCTGGCGGGCAGGAAGGAGAGCCGTGCGTTGCGGTGCCAACCCTCATTCCCAACCCATCTGGTGTTGGTCGAAGCGGGGCTGCAGGCGGGGGGGCACACAGTGGGCACACTTGTAGTGCTCCCGAATCCACCGCCCTCCCTCGCTGTCTTCGATGCAGATGGCTGCGACGCCTGCAGGATGCAATGAGGGCTCAGTGTCAGCCCCTGCATCACCTATGGGTGCCCCCACCCCGGTGCCCATCCTACCTGCCACGACCCCCCCTTGGCGCTCCACCAGCTGGATGGCCGCTCGCATGGTGCCCCCGGTTTCCACCCACTGATCCACCAGGAGGATGCGCATACCTGGGGAGGGGCAGAGCTGTATCCCAGCGCCCATTGTCACCCCGCTGTAGGAGTGCCCACCCCACGGGCTCAGCTCACCCGGTGTCACGGTGTCGGTGCGCACCTCCATCACCTTCTCCCGACCCGAATAGTCTGTGTAGGGTTCTGCCAATGTCTCCACGCAGAGGTGCCCGGCTTTGCGGATGGCCAAGAAGCCTTTATGCAGTGTGGCAGCCACGGCGGCACCTGGGGATGGCACTGTCACCTGCCATAGGGACAAGAATCGGGGACCCCCAGCATCCCCACTTACCCAGAATGAAGCCCATGGCATCGATGCCGGCCACCAGATCAATGGGATCTCCCTGAAAGGGTTGCAGCAGATCGGTCACACAGTCCTTCAAGCCCTGGGGAGATAGATATGGAGGTGCTGAGTATCCCCACAGCCCCCCCCTCCCAATGCCACCCCCTTGGTGCCCCCCATGTGGTCGCTGGGTACTTGCGGATGGCAGTAGAGCCGGGACGGGTCCAGCCATGCGTAGTGGGGACCTTTGGTGTTGGGGGCCATCAGTGCCAGGTACCAGCCCTTCTCCCGGACAGCGGGGACGTGGTGCAGGTCCATGCGTAGGGTGCTGTTGGCTTGCCAAGGGGTGAATTTGCACCCCATAGGGTTTAGCGTCCCCTCCGATCGCCCCGTTGGTGTCCCTGCGCATGCTCCTTACCCAGTGTGGGACTGTCATGGGAAGTGTCACAGACAGCAACAGCTGAGCGGGGGCTGCCCCATAGCGCTGGGCCCCCGCCAATGCCTTGGGACAGCGGGGAGCTGGGATGGGGCCAGCAGGGAGCTGTGCCCACAGCCGTCCCGGTGTGACACCCGCAGCCCCGTGCACATCCCCACATGGAGCTGTGCGGGCATCCGACGGGTGCGGGGTTTGGAGGAGCCAGAGCGGCGCTCGGGGTGCAGCCCCACGGGCAGATTTGGGGTCTGAGCCAACACAGGGACTTCTCGAGGCCGCACACGTCCCCGCTCGGGCATCGTCCAGCTCTGCCAAGAGCCGCTCCACGGGACGGGCGCCGCGTCCTGATTGCAAATGGGTTCCGTCCGAAGGATGGCAGCGGGCGGGGAGGGGAGCTGGCAGCCTTGATGCGCGGGCACCGGGACACGGGGATGGACAGAGCTGCCGCGGGGCAGAGCCGGGCCGTGCAATGCTGCGCCGTGCCGAGCCGAGCCGAGCCGTGCCGCCCCGCGGTGGGCGGGCCGTGCCGAGCCGCGCTCCGCTATAAGGCGGCCCCGCAGCAGCGGTGGCCCCGCGATGCCATGTGCGCCCCGCGCTGCCTCTTCCTCCCCCTCCTCCTCTTCCTCCTCCTCCTCCCGCTGTTGGCGGCCCCCAGCCCCGCAGTGGCCCCGTCGGGGCGGCCCCGTGTCCGCCGAGGGCTCACCTACCCCGGGACGCTGTGGTGCGGCGCCGGGAGCAACGCGGACAGCTACGAGCAGCTGGGTAAGGAGCTGTGCCTAAACCCACCCCGTGGTGAGACCTCCCCCCCCAGTGCTGCTCCGCTCCCCAGCACAGGACTGGGCCATTCCCATCCCTATCCCCAGCCTTGTCCATGTCCATTCATCCCGCTGCTATCCTACTCCCCACGTGCTGCTCCGCTCCCAGTCCACTCCAGAGCGATCCCCCTACTGGTGCTGTCCAACACGCTCCATACCCAGTCCTTACCCTGCTCTCGGCCTCCATCCTGGTGCTCATCTCAGTCTGGTCCCCAGACTGGTCCCAGCCCAACCCGTCCATCCTGATCAGCACTGTGGTGCTGATCCAGCCCCAGTCCCCATCCTGCTGCCTGCCCTCATTCAAGTCTGATCCCAGTGCCATTTCTGGTACAGTTCTGATCCCCATTCTTACCCAATGTGGCTTCTCCAGCCACCCATCCCCAATCCCAAACCCATTCCATCCCTGACCCCATCCCATCCCTGATCCCAACCCTATTTCACCCCTGACCCCATCCCAGCTCTGATCTCGATCTCGTCTCCAGCTCTGATCCCATCCCCAACTCTGACCCCATTCTAACCCTTATCCAATTCCATCTCATCCCCAATCCCAACCCCATTCCAGCCCCCAATCCCATTGAAGCCCAAATCTTGACTCCATCTCAACCCTGACCCCATCCAAGCCCCAATACTACTTCTTTCCATCCTTGACCCCATCCCATCCCTGATCCCAACCCCATTTCATCCCTGACTCCATCCCAGTTCCAACCTCAACCCCATCTCCAACCCTGACCCCAACCCATCCCCTATCCGACTCCATCCCAGTCCCAATCCCATCCCCAATTCCATCTCAGCCCCAATCCCAACCCCATCCCAACCCCAATGCCACCGAAGCCCAAATCCTGACCCCATCTCAACCTTGACCCCATCTCAACCCCAACCCCATCCCAGCCCCGATCTTGCTCCTTTCCATCCTTGCACCATTTCCAATCCCAATCCTCACCCAGTGCAGCCCCCATCCCATCCCATCCCCAATCCCAACACCATCCCAGCCGTACCCAGCCTTCCCCAACCCCAGCACTACCCTCAGCCCTCACCCCACAGGTGAGCACCGTGACACCGACCGCTGCTGCCGGGACCACGACCACTGCCAGCACGTCATCCACCCCTTCACCTCCCGCTATGGTTACCGCAACCTGCGCTGGCACACCATCAGCCACTGCGACTGCGACCGCCGGTGAGCAGCCCTGACCCCAAAATTGAGGTTGGGGGAATCACAGCGGGGTTCTCCTTCTCCTCACCCTCTTTTTGGTGCAGGTTGAAGGAGTGCCTGCAGCAGGTGAACGACACGGCGTCGCGCGTGGTGGGACAGGCGTTCTTCAACGTCATCCAGGTGCCGTGCTTTGAGTTTGCCTACAAGGAGGAGTGCGTGCAGCCGTACCTCTATGTGTGGTGAGTGATACCACCTCCCCCCCTCCGTGGTTTGGGATCTGCTGTTGCTGTCTCTGACCCACGCTGTCCTGCTGTCCCCAGGTGCAGGGCGTACAACACGGTGGCCGTGGCGGTGCCCAAGGAACCGGTGCTGTATGAGTTTGGTGGGGAGCTCATCGACAGGGCAGCGTGGCCTGGGGGGGAACCCCTGGACCTCCCAGCTGTGAAAGTGAGGAAAAGGATGAAGGAAAAGAGGAAGAAGGGGAAAGGTTTGAAGAAGAGCCCTTCTGGAATCAGGGAGCTGAACCACGCCGCATCTGTCACCCCCATTCCCCCCAACTCAGGGGGACAGGACAGCAGGAAGAGGAGGAGGAAGGAGAGGAACAGAAAGAAGAGGCTGAAAAGCAACACTGAGGCAGCATGAGCCTCACGCCCACCCTGTGGGGGCTCTTGTTGTGTTAATTAATAAAGTGGGTAATGAGCAGCCACTGCAGTGTGTTGGGGGTCTGCGGGGTGAGAGCCATGGTGGGGCCAGAGAGGGGGCATATGGGGCAGTGGTGCCCATCCAACACACAGGTCTGGTCCTGGTGCATGACAGCAAGGGAGAACCCAAGGTCTGCAGGGCCGTGTGAGGAAGAGTTATGTGGGCTCCAGCTGCACATCATTGCTCACACTGGCTGTGGTTGTGGCTCTGAGGAAGGCAGCCACAGCACTGCACAGGGCTGAACTTTCCCCTTCCCACCCCCATCAGGGATGCTGTGAGCACAGCACAGATGCAGGATGCACAGAGAGGCTGGACGCAGGCAGCTTCCCAAAAGTAAAACTTTTTATTGGGAAAACTAAAAACAAAGAGGGCCGGAAAGGAGCCAACAGCACTCAGTCAGCCCCCCCCTCCACCCCCTCCCCAGTATGGCTCCGGTAAAGAGCTGCTCCCAGTTAGAATCCTGCCATAGAATTTCATGAAATAAAAAATAAAGAAAGAAAATAGCGGAAGGTTATAGCAGGGCTGCCCCCCACCCAGGCAGGCAGAGGCCCCATCCCACCCTTGCGCGGCTGCAGATCGCGTTGTCAGCCCCATAACCGGAGCGCACTGCTCAGTGGAAAGAGCTCTGCTTTGTCCCCTGTGCTGCCGCCATTCTTCAGGAGCATTTACATGCAAAAAGACCTTTGTTGAAGCAGGGCTGCGGTTCTTGCTCATTTCCTAGCGAAGAGGAGGCGAACCAAGAGCCCCGGGAGAAACAAAGGCTCTGCTTCCATAGAAAACCCTCACTAACAAAAGAGGAAAGGAGAAAAAGTGTGCAGCAAGAAACTTTCCAGTTCAGAAACATCTCTCCATTGCACTGCAGCTGCTCCTGCTGGGACCGCAGCTCTGTGCTCTGCCCGCTCCCAGGCCCAGGGGTCTCCCCCAGGCAGCCGAGAGCTGTGCCCGGTATGTGGGTGCGACGTCTCGACATATTTTTTTGATCAGCTTAACACAAATCAGCTTCTCTGCAGAACTTTCAGCCTCCAAGTAACAAAAGGAGGAGGAGCAGACTTTCACCACCTTCCATGGCAAATCTGTCGCTAAGAGAGGGCAGGCACCACAGGGCAGACAAAACCTCTCAACCAGTGTCCGGTAGAAACACTATTTATTCACCCCTTTTGGTTACAGTTGGGCAGGAGGAAGTCGATATGGAGGAGGGTGCCATGCACTCTCAGCTGCTTTGGGTGCTCTCCACCATAGGAGCTCTTGCAGTGTTTCAGCCCATGCGTCTGTCCTGTGCTTGGTGAAGCTGCTGCTGCCCGGGGTTTTGCTTTGCAGTCTGATTAAAAAAAAAAACAAAACCAAAACAAACAACAGAAAGCCCCACAAAAACAAAACAAACTAAATAAATATTGTTCCAAAAGAAGCCAGAGGAGAGCAAGCCTTTGGTACAACAGCTGCGTTTCTCTCTGGCATGACCCCTAAGCCCCAGAGCAGCTGTGCCCTGGCTGCGGGGTGGCACAGATTTTGCAGAGCCTGCTACCTGTGAGATCACAGAGCAAACAACAACAGAAACCCTTTGAGAACTCTGGTTCACTTGTCACAACCCCAGTGACTTTGCTTCGTGCTCCCTGGGTGAGGAGAGGAAACAGTCAGGGCATGGGAGAGTCCAAATAGAAAAGGCTCACTCCAGGCCAGTGGTCTGCAGATCCTGCTAGGTTTGCTTCCTCGTGGTTGCAGTGACAGCACTGCTGTGCGCATAGAAGGACAGATTCATTCCGTCTTGTAACACTCCACCCAGCTTCCAAGTAATGAGCCAGGACCTGGAACACAGAGGCCACTGCAGCTGTCCTTTCCTATGAAATATTTATATATATATAGTATACATATTTAGACCAGCTCTGCCAAGTCTGTTCATTCACTCAGCTGCACATCACCACGAGTCGTTTCCCACCATCTCATGATGTATAAAACAGGAGTTACGTGGCTGAGGGAAGGGAAGTTGTGTTCAACTTTTGCTCTCCCTTCCCCTTCCTAGAGAAGGGAACGGAGGGTTGGGGTCAGGTCCAGCACGGCCTATCGGTCCATCTCATCCAGCAGCGGTGTGGCGTCCCCAGCGATGGACATGGGTGTGCTCTCAATCATGGGGCTGGGAGATGGGCGAGGAGTCAACCTCTGCTTCTGTTTCCTTCGCTCAGCCTCCTTCTCCTGGAGCCACTGCTCGGCCATCTTCCCCCAGTCGATGGCAGCGTGACTGTTGGTCCTGTAGGCAGGAGGTGAGATGTGCCATGGGCAAGAAAAACTTGGGCAGCTTTCCCTGCCCTCCCTCCCCACAGGGGAAAACTCAAGGCAACCCCACTGTAATGCTACCACGAAAGCAACCGACGCGTTACACAGACATGCATGCAACTCTTCCACTCACTTTGGCTGCTGCCTCTGCCTGGAACTGGATGAGGCCTGCGACTGTGTCTGGGACTGTGTGGACTGGGGTGTGGTGTTGGCCTGGAGCTGGTACTGGGGCGTTGTGATCGGCTGGCTGGGGGTAGTGTAGGAGTAACTGGGGGTCATCAGAGGGGTGGCCACCGGTTGCTGTGCTGGAGTTGTGAAGACCTGCAGGGAGCAGATATTGTTAGGAGACAGAGGGAAACCGCTGAGCTGTGAGGCAGAGATCTGGCATGCTCCCCACTGCTCTGCTTGCTGGTGCATGTCTTTGCTGCACTCTCCTAGGCCTGCTGGAGCCCCTCATCTGAGCAAGGAAAGGTTTGCAGAGATCACAGCCCAAGGAATGAGGGGCTGCAGGGCAGAACGAGAAACACCCTGCTGAGCACAGGACATTTCTGGGTCCTGCTTATTCCCCCTAGAGTCTCCAGCCATAAACCTGCCAGCCTTCCTCACCGATTCCACACAGGGTATGAGGGGAGACACTGAAACCAAGCAAAGGTGAGGACCAGAAGGGAGACAGGTGCAAGAGATACTTGGGAAAGCTTGCACAAACAACATATCTGAGTGGACTGCAGAACAGACAGATTTGCCTTGCTTTTCTGCCATAGTGGGTTGCAGAAAAGACAGCTCCTTCCCAGATCCCAACTGGCTGGATCACTGCCTAACAGAGCTCTTTGTCTCTTTGCCTCATGATGTTCATCTCCCTTTGGATTCTCTTAATACACTGAGTTACCCACAGTCCCTGTCTATCCCCAGCTCAATACTTCTGCCAAACTCCATGAAAGCCTCCCAAGGTGGTCCAAAAGAGGATCACTCCTCCATGCAAGCCTTGTCTTGCAGCACCTCTCTGTTAGATCTCTCTGCTGGCTGGGTGTGTTTCCTGTACCCAGGCACCTCAGTGCAGCTGAATTTTGCCTCAGGGTCAGCTGGGGAGCTGGCAACACGTGCTGGTGGAGGTAGGCACCAGCATGCATGAGGAAAGGTTTCAGCATGAGCTGAAACTGTTCACCTTCATCTCACTCAATGCAAAGCCTGTGGGTGTTCAGTCAGGCTAAGGTGTTCGCCTGCCGGTGCAGCTCAGAGATTAACACACTGAGCTGAAAAGCCCTGCAAACTCAGCACATAACTTCACAGCTAATCTCTTCCTCTGGCAGCTCACGCTGTTGAAAGAGGGGCACAATCAGAAAGCTGTGTGCCCGCACCGCTGGATCCCTTCTCTCTACCCTGCCACATTCCTCAGGAGCCAAACCAATTTGCTATTTGCCTCAAAGGCTTAAAAAGTGCACCTACGTGGTACGCGCTGCTGCCACCTCCACTGCCTCCGTAGCCATACTGACTGGATGCCCACTGTGCAGGGGTGGCATTTGGGTTCTGCCCCTGCCCTGTCACAGCAGCAATGGCACTGAACATCTGGGAAGTCATGTTCTGTGGTAGAGCATTCACTGCACGGGTCAGGTCTGCAAGAAAGGCCGTTATGTTAGACAGAGGAGAGCCTTGAGAAGGACCTTGTGCCCCAATTCCAGCCAGAAGAGGCCCACACTGACCTGCCAGGTTAATGTTAGCTGGAGTAGCATTAATGGAGGCTGGAGTTCTGGTCCGACTGCTACTGCTGGGAGTAATACCTGTACAAAACACAAGACAAAACAGATGGATTCATCTTCCCAAAAGAACAGTTATTGGCTTAAACTACAGATTAAAAAAAAAACAAAAAAAGAAGTGGAAACATTTGTCCTGGCAAGATCCTGCCTTACCAGGGCACAGCGTGGGCAGGATTGTATGGTGGGGAAGGCTAAGGGAGAGGAAAAGGACAATTCCAGCCTTTGCTGCATGACCCACTTAGCTGAAAGATCAACTGTTAGGTGAGCTCTTAACAGGTCCATGGAAGACAAAAAATCTGAGTATTGCTTTGAAACAGCTGAGAAACTCAGATTTCGAGGGTGCTCACCTGGAACAGGGTCCTGATAATGATCCTTAAACCATCGGAAGAGTCCATTCACTGTAGGGAAGACCTGGCCCCGGTAGCGGAATCCTTCTGGTGTCACTGTCACATACTCTATCCTGTGAGGAGCAGTGAACACAAGAGAGTACAGGAGATCACAGGCTGCTTCAGAGCCATACCAGCTTCCAGCACCCTCAAACTAACAGGCTATAGTCAGAACAGGCATGGCCTACAAACTCAGGTGATGGCTGGACTGAAAATGAACAGACCCAACCAAGATGCTCTCATACTGCTCTCAAAGAAGTGCTCCAAAATACCATGCCTTTCCTTGAAGGAAATCTATCAGTCACTGCTTACACTCTACCCTAGTGACACCCCTTGCACAGAGCAGTACTGTTTGTGACAGCCAGTGTTTAGAAATGCAGGAGTCTCCTGGGTGAGACTGACTACTAGACATGGATCCTCTGCCGTCAGGAGGACATACTCTGGATAAAAGGAGGCCTGACTTACAAGGAATACTGACAGAACTAGAAGAAAAATCAGGGGTGTGGTACTGGCAGCAGTCCAGCTGCTGGGCTTATCTCTCCTTTACCTTGGTTTGCCTCGAGGCTGATAACCCAAGAGGAATTTGCCAGGTAGATCTTTACAGGCACTAATAAAGTAGGGAATAAACGTTGGCTTCTCTTTCTTGGTCTTTATCAGCAGCTCTTCCAGCTTCTAAATCGAGAGAGGGAAAGAGAAAAAATGAGATGCTCAAGGAGAGCCTACGTTTTTAGCAACACATAGGACCTGCAGCTGTCTCCCTCCATGCTGCTGTCAAGCCCATTTTCTCCCCAGCTCTGACAAGGGCCACCAATTGTACTGTTTCTGTGCAGGGTTCTAAA